GGGAAACTCCCCAAGGTGTCCAGAGAGGAGCCCCAGGAGCACGAGGAGTTGCCAAGCAACAGGCTGGGCCAGATGGAGGTTGTGGCAGTGGGCAGGGGCCTGTAGATGCCGCCCAATCCCAGGGAACTTGTTTTCCTATATGCATCTCCCACCCCAGAAACCAAACACCACACCTGGGCCAGACTATGGCCCCGCCTCCCAGAGGACAACATTCCTATTCCTGAGTGGCAACAGGTGAACACCCTTGTCCGCAGGAATGTCAGGGGGAAAGACAGCATGGAGACAAGGACAGGTGTCCTGCCACCTCCCTGAGGTGGGACTTTGGTGGAACAGATTCGCTCAGGTCTCCTCCACCCCCTCTTCCTGCTCCACCTGGTTCCAGGGACTTCCCAAGGCCAAGTTCTACCTGTTGCCCAAACCTGCTTCCTGTCCAGCCACCCACTCACCCACCTGCCAAGGCCCCTGCCCAGCAGGCCCCCCAGATAACGACCATTCCCTTCCCGACTTCCCACGGCATCAGGCTGTGCTCCCCTAGGGAGGACGTGCGCACAGCCAGCCCCAGCTCCCTCCACCTGTCCCAGCCCTGGGCTTCCCTTCAATGTCCCCCCTGCACACTCATCTGTCCCCAATTAATGAGCATATGACTCAGTCCTGACTTCTCAACACCCCCTCCCTGACTGCACGTTGGCAAGGCATTTGAACTTAAAAAAAGACATTAAAGAGGCTGGCTTGGCATTGTATGCTCATAAAAGCTGTGTGAGAATCAGGGCAGGAGTCGCCACCCCCAAGCAGGAGTGAGCACTGGGGAGGTAAAGGCCAACTTCAGGCATCAGGTCAGGGCCGAGCTGGAGGAGCAGGTGCACCTCATGCATACCTCACCCCAACTCTCCAGAGCTGACTATGAGGCAGGAAGCAAGAATGGGGTGGGAGTGGGGGGGAGGGGAGAAAAGTGGGGAAGATTCTAGAAAGACCAGAGCAGAGATAGTCCTGAGAAGCAGCAGGAGAGAGCAGCCAGCTCGTGATCATACACTAAGTGAGGACTCCCTGAGGCCCAGGAGTGCCCCAGGTCTGCCCAGGCTGCATGCTTCCCCTTTCCAGACAGGGCAGGGCCTGGGGTCCAGTGCCTACTCCTCCTGCAGGCCTGGCCCTGGGGGAGGTGTGCACCAGGCCTCAGCCAGGCCTTGCTCTTGGGAGAGCAGAGGGGCATGGGCAGCAGAGGTCCCCAGCCTCCAGCCCTGACCAGATGGCTACTAGGTCAGCGACACCTGTGGGCTAAGAGAACCATGCACGGACAGCCACAGCGGGGGCGAGCAGCTTACTGACGATGTCGGGCGCATGGCTGATGTCTGCTGTTAGAGCGGCCGCCTCCACCACAATGTGGGCCACAGTGATGGGCTCTTCTGGGCCTGCCGCTGGCACCACCTACCGAAGGAGAAAGGGGACAGAGGGGACTCATCCTTGGGGCTCCAGAGCTCCCTTGGCTTGGAGAGTGCAGGCTTGGGTTTATGTCCATGTAGGATGGCAGGGATGGGACTCTCGTCTCTCCCAACAGGACCACTGCTCTGAGCCCAACTCCTAGCCTGGCCCCTCCAAATCAGGCCCAGGGGGTCAGCCCCATCACTCTAATGCCTCCGGCCACTGTAGGCTATAGGCTGAACATAGAGCAGCGAGTGCCCTCGGGGGGGACTCCAGGAGGAAGGGGCCAGCAGCTCCAGCTTGAAGCTCGGCTGGCTGTGCAGGGCTAAAGGTGAGTACCTTTACCCACCAGCCCCAGGCAGGGGGTCAGAGGAAAGGGGCTGGAGGTGTGGCACCAGGGGCCTTCCTGGAGAAGAGGGCATGTCCAGGAGGGGCAGATAAAGAACACAGGGTCAGAGTGAGACAACTTTGGGCCCACTGTCCTCTGGGCCACTCCCAATGGTGACCTGAGGCAACTGATGGCTCTTGGAGCCTCCCTTCCCACTTCCATACGCTGAGTATGACGAGACTGCCCTATGGTCCTTGAGAAGACTATGTGTGGACAGCCCCAAGCACGCATGGGGAGCAACCAAGTTGGCCATTTTCATGCTGAGGTGGCAGGACTCATGGAGCTATGCTTCGTTTGGGGGATCCCAAGGAACTATGTGTAGAGAACCAGAGATAAGCCAAAAGGACAAAAGCCCCCATGATATCCCTGAGCCAAGACAGGCCCTTGGGCTCCAAGATAGGAGGGACCCTGGGTCCCAACTGTGCAGGTTGCAGCCAGAGGCTGCTGAGAAGGGCAGGCCATCCTGAGCTATCCAGGAAACCCCAAGCACCTGTAGGCTCTTGCTGGCAGGGCCCTGACCCTCCCTCACCCACAACCAGATGCCTCACATGGAACCAGCTGCACAGGTCCATCCCAGTGCACCGCTGCCTCCTCCTGCTGTCAGATGAGCCCAGGGAGGAGGGGAGCACAAGTGTGCGTGTGTGTGTGTGTATGTGTGTGGTGGCAGCGGGCGGGGGCTCACCTCCTGGCCCAGCAGTGCAGTGGCGGCAGGGGTGGCGGGCAGGGCCTCCTGCGGGGCCCGCTGGCAGATCTTCTGGAGCTTGTGCTGGACGAAGTCCTCCAAGGCAGTGAACTCCGCCTGGCAGCGGCCACATCTGTGCACGTCGTCCTCATCTGCAACGAGCCTGTGGTCAGCGAGGCTTGGGAGGGCCTCCAGCCCCCCGCCGAATCCACCCAAGGGTGGCATCAGAACCAGAGGCACCTTCCCCAGCCCTCCCACAGCAGCCGAGAACACTCTCAAAGCCTAGGGTGCCAGCTCCCATCCTCTGGAGGTCTGCAGAAGTGACGCCCCACCCCAGGGAGAGCAGCATCCAGCGGAGGGTGGCCCCGACCACATACTTAGGCTGCAAGAATCCACTGAGGCTGCTGTGCCCAAACCTCCACTTCAGAAATGATAGGGAGGGGCCGGCCCTGTGGCCAAGTAGTTAAGTTCGCGTGCTCCGCTTCAGCGGCCCGGGGTTTCGCCGGTTTGGATCCTGGGCACAGACATGGTGTTGCTCGTCGGGCCATGCTGGGGCAGCATCCCACATGCCACAACTAGAAGGACCCACAACTAAAAATACACAACTATATACCGGGGGGCTTTGGGGAGAAAAAGGAAAAATAAAATCTTTAAAAAAGAAAAAAAAAAGAAAGAAAGAAATGATGGGGATCCAGTGAGTAGCTGGTGGGGGGTAGAGGGATTTGCCCAAGCCAGGCTGGGGATGATGGAGGCCCAGAATCTAAGATGCTGGTGATCGCATGTGCCCTTGGGCACTGCAGTGACCATGTTTGGGTCCATTTCTTTATCTGTAAAATGGGCCAATCCACTGTGTGTGTGCAGAGTACAACAGGGGTCAGTGGGCTGGTGCCCACAGGGCTCCAGCTGAGAGGCCAGCCCCAGCAAACATGGAGAGGCGGGTGCCCTGACCTGTGACCACTCTTTTCTCACTCTGACTTCCAAACAGGCAGTACCTCCCTGCTCTGGTAAAGATGCCTAGGGTGGAACTTCACAGAGGGACTCCACGTCCCAGAGCCATCGCACTTGAGTCCCGCACCATCTGGCCTGACCAGCCAGTGTCTGCCCCAGGTCCTGCAGGAGAAACTACCCGCTCCCTGAGTCCCTACTGTGTGCCAGGCACTGCACTGAGATGTCACCAAATCCAGTCAGCACCCGGGGGAAATGGAGATGACTATTCCCATTCTAGAAAAACAACTTGAGATTCAAGGCCACCCTGGTGAGCACTGGGGCCAGCATGTGAAGCTGAGGGTCTACTCCAGATGCCCTGCCGTTTGCACAGAGGGAAAGGGAGGTGTTCCTCCGCTTCCGGAAAAGACCGCCAGTTCCCATCACCTCACACGCAGTCCTACATCAAAGTCAAACCCAGGCCTGGCGCATAGAAGGAGCCCGAACAATGTCTGTTTAATTAATGAGCAAACAAAGGGCCAAAACACAGCCATGACTCGCCCATGAAGGCCACCTGACAGAGGGTGGGCCCCTCCACATGGCTCACAGTCACAAGTCAAGCACTGAGGTGCCCACCACGCTCTTAATCCTCCCACTCCACTCGCCGAGTGTGACTCGGCAAAAGGGTGTTGCTGTCGAAGGAACCCCCACCACAGAACGGGACACACCCAGTCCCATATAACACTGGGACAAGGCCATGGGCAAGCCCAGCAGGGCACAGGAAATTCCAAAGAGACTCTCGCCCAGGTTGGCTATGCCTCGGGCGGTACTGCCCCTCCCCAAGCTGGAATAAGGAACAAGAAAAAAATGTACCAAGAATACGAATCCTCTGGGGCCACAGGCCACCACTCCAATATCACTAGCCAACTCCCTCCTGTCTGGTTCAGGCTACAGCCTCATGGGACAAGGGCAGAGGGCAGAGACCCAAGTTCTGTGTTCAAAAGCTATCAGTGCCCCTGTGAATGAGCCCTCCACCTGTCCCAGCACTGTTCTCAGCAATTTATGTACATGCTCTATTCTCATTCTCACCTCGGCCTCAGAACCCAGAAGTGAAGGGAGTGGGGTGAGGAGTCACACAGTTCTGGGATCCAATCCAGTCCTTGCTACTTACTACCTGGGTGACCTGGTCACTTTCACATCTTTGAACCTCGATTTTCCTCATCCACAAAATGGGAATAACAATAATAATAGCATCCGGGGTTGGTCTGAGGATGAAAAATCGGATGCAGGGTGAGTGTTTGATACATGATTATCAGCTGCAGCATGTCCATTCTGTAAGGGGAAATAAAGGCTCAGAGAGTGTGCGGTGACCTGCTCAGGTCTAGTAGCTAGAAAGCAGCAGGTCTGGGACGGAGCCCGCAGGCTGGCTGCAGTGCATCAGCTCTTGCCCCCTGGGCTCTGCTGCTTCCCCGAGGGCCAGCCCAGAGCCCAGAGCCCGGAGAGACCGAGGCCCCGCCCTCCTGGAGCCTCCAGCCACACCCGGGCCCGGGACCCAGTGACCCGTCAGGTGCAGTGGGAGGGGGCCCACAGGAGGGCAGGGCCGTGCCCGGACAGGGAAGCAGGGGCCGGGCCGCGGGCCTGAGAGTGCAGGGCTGGCGATGGAGGCGTCGGCGGACGTCTACACGGACAGCTCCAGAGACTTGGCATCTGTGAGTATCCATAAGGGGGCGCCCCGCAGGAGCGGCCCGAGGGTCTGAGGAAACCTGGGGCCTCGTGGAGGGCTCTGAGGCCCCGCGCGATCCCACGAGGTCCGCAAGGATTCCAGGTCGCGAAGGGTCTGTCCCTCCCGCAGCTCAGACCATCGGGGCATCCGCCAGCCTGGGCTGAGCCGCCCCCACCCCGGCCGCGCCCTGCCCGTTCGGCCCGGTTACCTTCCTCGCTAAAGGGCGCTGGGAGACCGAGGAAGCCGCCGGGGGCCAAGGACGCCGCCGCCGCCGCCGCCGCGACCCCGCCCTCGCCTGCTTCCCGCCCAGCTTCGGCCCGGGCTTCTGCCGTATGCGCGGCCGTCACCTGCACTGCCATCGCGCCCTCCATGTCGCAACGCGCCGCAGGAAGATGGCGGATTTACGACCGTGTCGTCATAACAACGGGCCGCGCCGAGGAGAGCGAGAGAGAACGATAGGAGGAAGACGACGGGGCGGGGCCAGGGTGAGTTTGACGGACAGGCGGCGGGGCGGGGCCTGGGGTGTGGCCTTGAACTGCAGAGGCGGGGCCAGGCTCGCTGAAGGAAGAGTTGCGGCGGGGCTGCTGGGAGGGGCGTGGGAACGCGGAAGCGAGCTGACAGGCGGCGGGGCGGAGCCAGAGGAGAGCCGTGGGGCGTGGCTTGGCGCTGCCGGGACGTGGCCAGGCTCGAGGAACAGCTGACTGGGGCCGGGCCCCAGGAGGCTGGGCTGGGTTCTGGGCTGCATCAAGGCTTGAGAGTCCGAGGAGAGAGGCGAGCGGCCTGGCAGTGTCACCTGGCCAGCTCTGAGTTACTGCTGTGGCTGCGGCCCCCCAGAATCGGAGCTCAGGAGAGCCGCTACCAGGACATCGCCCCAGCTGGGACCAGTAGTGTGGTGCTCGGTGCCCTCCGACCCCCTCGGGTGTCAGAATCTCCTTTGATGGTTGCCCGGATCCCGGGAGAAGAACTCAAGCTGGGGATGGCTCACGAGTAGCTTCACTAAGCCTTTTATTCTTTTGTGTATTTTTTAAGTTGTGATAAATACACATAAAAATTTACCTTAGTGACATTTAGTACATCCACAATGTGTAACCATCACCATCATCTAGTTCCAGAACATTGTCGTCATTCCTAAAGGAATGTACCTTTATGTACCCATTAGCAGTCACTCCCCATTCTCCCCTGCCCCAACCCCTGGCAACCACTTTCTGTCTCAAGGGATTGCTTTTTCTGGACATTTCGTATAAGTGGAATTACACATGTGGTCTTTTTCATCTGGCTTCTTTTGCTTAGCATAATGTTTTTGAGATTCATCTGGGTTGTAGCATGTGTCAGTGCTTCATTCCTTTTTATGACTGAATAACACTGCATCATATGGATGGACTGAGGACCCTTGGCCCGGCAGGAGCTGGGATGTGTGAGGCACAGATCATACCACCGGAGGTCAGGCTGGGGTAATGAAAGGGCTGCTTTCTGCAGGGGGCTTGCTCACCACTGCAGAGTTTTAAGCAGAAGGAGTGACAGTGTTTCAGAAGGATCCCTCTGACTGTTGTGCAGAAAAAGGACCTCAGGGCCACAGCAGAGACAGGAAGATCTAGAAAAGATGATCTCTGAGAGGGACAAATAGGAGGAGGAGCAGGTGGCGGCTTATGGAGCATGAGAGATCTGGGGGACTTCTGTGAAGGGAGGACCAGTAGGACACCTCACTTGAGGATGTGCTGAGGAGTAATGGGGAGGCCAGCATCAGAGACAGAGGAAGTTCCCCAGAGGAATAGAGTAGGGAAGGATTTCAAAGACAGAGGACAGCCTGGGTGTGTGTGGACATGAGGAGGAGCTGGCCCAGGGGACACGGAGAGCCTGCTCTGCTGTGTGCACCAGAGCCTGTGGGACAGAGTTGTCAGGGGAATGCCAGGGCTCCTCCCTTGTTACTCCCTAGGGATCAGAAAAGGTCATCCTAACCCAGTGCACTCTATGACCTGCCTCAGCTGGAGCCCAGGCAGACTAGCGGGTAGAGGAGAGGACAGGTCTGAGGTCACTAGGGGGCAGAGTGGCCAGGGGCAAGCAGGGACACCAGAGACCCCCTTCTCACAGGTGGCTGCCTTTCCCATCCTGTCCTCAGCATGGCTTCCAACTGCACACTGTGTTTTACAGTCAAAACTGTGTTCACTTTCTGTGGCCAGAGCCTGACGGGAACTCCATCATCTTTTATGATGGCTGCTCAATCTCCATTCCTTGGATGTACTTTATTTAACCAATCCCATGTTGAAGAATATTTAGGTTGCATCCAAATTAGTTTGCCACTCAAGTCCTTTTTCAATGACCCCCCTTTTGGCTTAGCTCATTGGAAATGATAACATCTGTGAAAACAGATCCAATAGCTGCTTGTATTTTCTAATACAATTTAAATCCATGCAATACTATTAAGGTTAAATAGTGTCTGTCCTTGTACCACCTAAATTCATGCCGTGTTCTGCCTGCAGTAGGGCTTCCTCGCTTGGGGGACCCTGGGACCATCCATTTGCGGGTATATACTGAGTACCTGCTGTGTGTCTGGAGTGCGTGATCATGATGTCCTCCTCTCCCATCCAGACGCAGGGCACCTCACCCAAGGTCAGTCCTCCCCAATAAAGGGCATCATCCCTTCCAGACAACTCCAGGACCTTGTCTGCAACCATCCCCTCTCTCAATACTGACTGTTCCATTCTTCCCACTACGCCACCTCAGTCCCTAAAACCTACAGGGGATGTTAAACCAAACGGATGCAGCAGAGCTTGGCTTTGGGGTCAACTGAATTTAATCCCAACTCTTTGTTGTCCAGCTGGTGACTCTCCGTGGCTCAGTTTCCTCTTCTGTAAAAGAGGAGACTAACAATCCCTGCCTCTCAGGGCTCTCCTGTGATTCCAACAGGGTAATGCAGGTAAGAAGCAGCATTCAGTGCCTAGATGCTTACTGAGTGCCCAGGAAATCAAAGCACTGGGCAAGTATTCTACGAGCAGGCACAGGCCAGACAGCAACAGCGTTTCCCATTCTGGCCAGTGTACGACATACACTGGATGTTTCCAGGTGGTTAAAGCAGGGTTTGTGATCATCTGTCAAATCCAGTTTTTCCCAGGTTCAGCTCCACCACCAAAACTGAGTGACACAGGCAGGAAGCTCTGGGTGGTGGGTGCACCAGGCAGGAACACTTCGCATGCCCCGCCCTTGTGGGCCACGGCCCCTGTCCTCCTTGAGTTCCCAGGCCAGCAGAGACCAACAGAAACAGGCCGTATGGAAACAAACAGGGCCCTAAGGGAACTGAGGTCACTGGCTTTACCTTGTGGTCTTGGGGATGGGGGGGAAGTCCAGAAGACTATGTGGAGACCTGGGGCCCAAGAGAGGAGCAGGGGTTTGACACTCTAGGAGGTGGGGTTCTGGATCCCCTGGCACAGGGTAGGTTCTCAGGAAACTGGGGCCCGTTATTCTGCCACCCCACCCTATTGAAAGTAATAACAATGAACATACATCTATCCTATGAACCAGCAATTCCACTCCCAAGTATATGATACCCAAGAGAAATGGGTGCCCATGTCCACAAATGAGTGTGTAGGAATAAGAACGTTCACAGGGGCATTATTTACAATAGTCCAAAACTGGAAACAACCCAAATGTCCATCACTTGGAGAACAGATAAAGGAGGGTATATTGTTACCGTGGCGCATGCAGCAATTAAAAAAAAACCAGAAGGATGGATTTCACAGACATGTTGATGCAAAGAAGCACGACTCATAAGAGTACACGGTAAGATCTCATTATAAGATGGTCTAGAACAGGCAAAGGAGGTTATGACTCACTCTATGGTGACAGAAGTCCGAAAGATGATTGGGGGAGGGGTATCTGCTATTGACTGGATAGGAACGGGAGGGAACTTTCTGCAGTGATGGAAATATTCTGCATCTTGCTCAGTTGTGTTTACACAGGCGTATAGGTATGTAAAATTTCCATCAACTTGCACACTTAAGATTTATGCACTTTATGTTACGCCTCAGTAAAAGTTAATAATATCCAATAATAATGATGACGTAGCGACCAATTACTGAGTGCTGTGTTCTAGGCAGTGTCCTTCTCTTAAAGATTCCAATCCCACTGTCTTGTAATTACTTGTTCACATGACCACTAAGGCACAGAGAAAGCGTTTTTGCAAAGGACTGGAAACGAGAACGCCAGGCTTGTTGGGAAGAAGGCACGGGCTGGCTGTCAGGACTGGCCGTAATCGGCCCATGCGCCGACATCGTGTGCGGAGCGTGTCCCGCGCGGAGGCCACCGCCTGGCGCCGCCCAGGCAAAGGTGCGGACGTGACTCTAGCCCAAAGGAGACAGCAGCCCCCGCGCCACGCTCCTGCGGAGAACCCCGCCCGCCCAACCGGAGAGAAGCCAGCCAATCAGCAGCCGGCCCGGCCCGGGGTCACTCGATTGAGGGCCTCCGTCACCTAGGCTGACCACGCGCCTCCAATGGGCGAGCTGCCCTGCGACCGCCAATGAACAGCAGCCTTACGTCCTGCGCCGGCTCTAGGCTCTTCCGCAGAGTTTCCGCAGTGAACGCTCCACTCCGAAAGCCGGTTGGCTCGCTGCCAGCCAATCAGCGGGGCGCCCCGGGCCGGCAGCCAATGGCCGCCCGCCTCTCCGCGCCGGGCCGCGACGGTTGGCCCTTAGCTCCCGCAGCCAGCGGAGGCGGGGGCGGATTGGCGCAGGCGGCGTCCAATGGGCGGCGCGAACGAAGCGCAGGGCCAATGAGCGCGCCGGGGGCGGGGCGGGCGCAGCGGCGGGCGGCTGCGAGGAGCGGCCGGTGGCGGCGGCGGCGACGGCGGCCACGGGCGGCGGCGGGCGGCCATGGCTGCGGCGGAGGCTGGCGGCGACGACGCCCGCTGCGTGCGGCTGAGCGCCGAGCGGGCCCAGGCGCTGCTGGCCGACGTGGACACGCTGCTGTTCGACTGCGACGGCGTGCTGTGGCGCGGCGAGACGGCCGTGCCCGGCGCGCCCGAGGCCTTGAAGGCCCTGCGGGCCCGCGGCAAGCGCCTCGGTTTCATCACCAACAACAGCAGCAAGACCCGGCAGGCCTACGCCGAGAAGCTGCGGCGCCTGGGCTTCGGCGGCCCGGCGGGGTCCGGCGCCGGCCTCGAGGTCTTCGGCACGGCCTACTGCACTGCGCTCTACCTGCGCCAGCGTCTGGCCGGCGCGCCGGCCCCCAAAGCCTACGTGCTGGGCGGCGAGGCCCTGAAGGCTGAGCTTGAGGCCGTGGGCGTCGCCTGCGTGGGCGTGGGGCCCGAGCCGCTGCAGGGCGAGGGCCCCCGCGCCTGGCTGGACGCGCCGCTGGAGCCCGATGTGCGCGCCGTCGTGGTGGGCTTTGACCCGCACTTCAGCTACATGAAGCTCACCAAGGCCGTGCGATACCTGCAGCAGCCCGGCTGCCTGCTCGTGGGCACCAACATGGACAACCGGCTCCCGCTCGAGAACGGCCGCTTCATCGCGGGTCCGTGCGCCCCGGGGACGGGAGGCTGGAGGGCGGGCGGCCGGCCGGCCCCTCCTGTCCTCTGACCCTGGGAGCTCTCCTCCCCTCCCTCTCCGCCCCGCAGGTACCGGCTGTCTGGTCCGAGCCGTGGAGATGGCCTCCCAGCGCCAGGCAGACATCATAGGGAAGCCCAGCCGCTTCATCTTCGACTGCGTGTCCCAGGAGTACGGCATCAACCCGGAGCGCACCGTCATGGTGGGAGATCGCCTGGACACGGACATCCTCCTGGGAGTCACGTGTGGCCTGAAGACCATCCTGACCCTCACTGGAGTCTCCACTCTAGGGGATGTGAAGAGTAATCAGGAAAGTGACTGCATGTCTAAGAAGACAGTGGTCCCTGACTTCTATGTTGACAGCATAGCCGACTTTTTGCCCGCCCTTCAAGGTTAAAGATTTAGTGTCTTTAATCTCCAGAATAAAAAAAATTGAAAATCACTTACCCAAATTAATAGGTGGGGCTTAAGCATCTGCTCAACTAAGCGGCTTCAAAGAGTAGACTTGGAGTTAAGCAAAGGCACTAGTTGTTAACCTTGTACGTGAACGTTTGGGGGGCAGTTTTGTTTACAGATGCTTCTATTTCAAGATGCTCTTTTAAGCTTGGAGGGTATTGTGGGGGTCCTAGACCTTGGGTGCCTTTGGCAAGGGCTGGCTTAGCATCTGTCCAGGATTCAGGTAACCTCAGGGCCTGCTGCTGGGACTGAGGCAGGTCTGGGGGTGTCACGTATTTTATTGAGAATTTCATTCAGGGATCAAGCTCCCTTGCAGGGCAAAGGGAAGGAGGGGCTGATTATTTTGACTGTTGTGAGAAACTTGTACAAACCGTCTCCAGGGCCCCATCAGTGGTCAGCAGGGGAGACTGCTGCTGCATCCCAGCCCCTCACCTGCAGGGTGGGAGTGGAGGACGGGGCTGCTCCCAGGTGTTGTCTCCCTGTCCTTTGGGTGCAGAGTTCTGCCCTCACCACCACCACCCCACACTTCCTTAAAAACCACTCTGATGTCACAATTCAGTGTTCCGTTTCAGATACCCAGGGCTGCCGCTCCGCACACATGGTTGCGCAGTTCCGTAAGCTCAGCCCAGCTTGGCTTTCTCAAATGTGCATTTAAACCCGGATGACTTGGACTGAGCAGCCAAGGCCGTGCATGGATGCCTTCGCTGAACTCTGGGCTGCCTTGCAGGGAGCTCAGAGCAGCATTGGTACAAAAAAATTTTTTTTAACTTTTGAACAACTTTGTCAAGTGGTGGATTGAATCTTAAGTGTGTTGATTAATAGCTGTGCTCTGTCTCATAGGGAAAATCCCACTGAAGAAGTCTCCGTGCCCTGCAGCCAGCAGCATGGCTAAAGGCGTGTGCTAGCCAAGGAATGCCTGTCACCCAGGGTGCCCTCTGGGTCGGGGAGGAAAGAGGTGTCCCCAAGAACAGGAAATCCTTTTACAAAGCATCCGATCTCTTTCTGTCCTCTTGTTACCCTTGGTTGGGGTGGGGTTAGATGTCAGTGGTGCATGAGGCCACCTATCTTGGCCCTGGAGTCCCTTGTCGGTGGCCAGTAGGAGGACTGGCAGGGTCCGCTGGCTAGCCAAGGGTTCTTGGCAGGGGACCTTGGCCTTTTCAGTCTGTTCCCTCAGTTGCTGACCTTTGGGAACAAGCCTGATAAGCAGACTCTGGCCACACTTGTAGGGTGGGGTCAGGGAATCTGTTCCTTTTGGCCGACTCCTTCCCAGTGCCTCGCCCTGCACCCAGTGGCATCTGCCCACAGCCTGTAGCTTCTCTTCTCACCCCAGGATCCCAGTGCTCCTTCACTCATTCTCTAAGAGTTCTCAGAGCAATAAAGGCTATCCCAAACCTTCATCTCCTCCCAGGCCTGGAGTGTCTGGGGTTTAGACTCTGCCATGGGGCAGCACAAGGGCAGCCGGCGCCTGTGAGGTTGGTGGTGCTGACGTTGGCTCTGTGAGGTCGGCTCAAGGTGGGTCTGGATATTGAGCAGGCCTGTCAGGGCGTTGTCACCCACACCAGGAGCACGTGGCCGGTGCAGCAGCCAGTGACAACTCCCCTCTTCTGCTGGGCAGTGGCCCAGGAGCCTGTGTGTGCCCCATCTCTGCCCCTGTTGCACTGTGTGAACCCAAATGCATATTAAACTCTCAAACCCACGCTGGCTCTGGCGTTCCTTGCTCTCGCCTAGACAGCGGCCTTTCACAGAGGCTGCAGCTGTCTAACTGCAGCATGGGGGTAGGGTGGGAGCACTCCAAGCAGAAGGCCTTTCTGGGATTCCAGTTCCAGAGCTGGAACACAGACCACTGCAGTTCCACCCCATTTCAGGCCCACTAGAAGGTGATGCTGAAGAGTCAGGAAAAACAAGGCACAAAGGAAAACCAGAGGGAGAAAGGGCCATGGGGTGCAGCTGGTGGAGGCCACACCCGTCCTGAGGGCTGCTAATACAGGGGGAGCCCTGACTGTCACAGTCCATGGTGTCAAGTGGCTGAGAACACAAGCTAGGAGCCAGGGTGGTAGCACAGTCCAGTTAGAGAAAGCCATGCTGGGCAGGGTGGGGCTAACAGACATGAGGCTGCCCTAGCCATCCCCGGGGCCGCGGGAGGTTTGAATAGGCTGCCTTTAAGGCGGTGGAGCCTTCTGGAAGCCATCTGGCCTCAGGCCTGCACTCTGGAATGCTCGTCAGCCCATGCTGTGCTGGGTATGGGGAACAGCTGGGGTACATGGGGAGGGAAGGGAGGTGGCACAGAGTTCCATACCAATTCTTTAGTGATGGTCTCTTAGGTGCCCTGGCCTGAGAGACTAGAAACAAACAGTCCTCTTTAAGAAAAAGTAAATCTGCTCCCGACAAGACTCTAAAATTGTTCTGGCCCAGCCTGGGCTGTCCTCTGTGCCAGCCAGGGGACTTGATTTCCACAACGACCGTGCTCTCATGACCTCCCAGGCCCATATGCTCTCCAGTCTGCACAGGCGAGGTGTCAGGAGAGCCAGGCATGGTGACAAGCACCCCCTAGGTGGGAGGGAGGGGGCTGTCCTGGCTCTGACGCAGATATCAGGTAGCTGGGCTGGCGAGGAAGCAGTGGGGTCAGGAGAGGAGGGGGCTAGGACGGTGGTTTGGCTCATCAGAGCCAGCCTGAGACTTCCCTGGCTGACTCCAAGGGGCAGCTGACAATCAGCGCATTGTCACCAGGGCTGCAGCATGGAGCAGGGAAGCTGCCGTGCGGAGAGCCCCGGGCCTGGGTCTGTTGGGGTGAGTGCCTTCCATCAACCAGTGTCCTCTCCTGGGACAAAGACCCAGGGCATGCCCTGGGCAGGTGACAGGAGTGTGGCACTCACCTCCCAGCCTCCTCAGCCCCTACCTTCCCTGAGCCAGCCTGCTCTCTGGTCTCTGCTCCAGGCTCCACTGACTGCAATATGCCCCCAGGTGAAGACCAAGCCCTGCCATGGGGGCTGGGGAGCTGCTGGCCTGCTGCTGCTGCTGCTGCTGGCACTGGCCACTGCAGGGGCTGTGGCTGGGGGGCTTCTTGGCTTTGCTCCCAGCCCTCCCAAGGTGAGCCCCTCCTCAGAACGCGGGCAGAGGCACGGACAGTGGAAGGGGGAGGAAAGGCCAACATACTGCAGCTTGGGTGGAGCCAGCGCCTGGAGCTGAGGGCGGGAGGGCCAGAGCGGTGGAGGGGTCAAAAGGCTTGAAGCAGGGGTGGGGGAGTGTTGGGGCTGCCCCACACTGCCCAGCTGAGCTCCACTGCCCACTCTCAGCCACTGCTGCAGATGCTCCGTCTGACTCTCCTGAGCCCCAGTGTGCCCCAGCCCAACCAAACTGCCCAGGTGGACGTGGCCCAGAACGTGGCGACCATCAGGGTGACTCCAGCTCAGAGCAATCGCAGCTGGGCAGTGCTGTTCGACGGGCAGAGTGTGAGTGGGCTGGGGGGGATCACCGCCCAGGGGGCTCAGGCGGCCCTGCCTCACCTGGCTGCCTCTCCAGGGCCACGTCTGTTACCGACCCCCCGAGCACCAGGCCTGCTTCCTCCACCTGATGGAGGCACGAGACCGAGAGACCCTGCAGCTGCTGGTGAACACCTCAGAGGTAAGCAGCCCCCACACGGCCAGGCTCCCAGGCCAGAGGCCAGACAAAGGGTCCTGTGTACAGCCCGGGCCTGGGGCGGGCAGGGGCTCCAATTTCAGGGGAACAGAAGCTCTATCTTGCCTTGGCTGAGGCTGCTGACAAGAGTCAAGGCGGGGCTGGCACCCGTGCCAGCATGTCCAGAGACCCATGGGCCCTGCCCACCAAGGGACAGTGCAAGTGTCCCTGTCCTGTGGCCCACCAGAGCCTTCTCTGCAGGCCCAAGAGTCTCGCAGCCCCAGCCAGCACACCCACCGTGCCCAGGAGCTGCTGGCAGTGCTTGGGAGCCACGAGGTGGACCCTGCCCAAGTTGGGGCTTCGGTGCAGCACCTCTGCGCAAAGACCCCCATTTACTGGGCCCGTCGAGCAGAGGGTGAGTTGGGGCAGGCTGTGTGGAGAGGCCTGGGCTCCTGCAGGACAGTCTGGGGACAGGGGAGGAGGAGCCCTTTGGGTTCACGAAGGCCCCTCCCCCCAGGGCCCCCGAGGCAGCGGCTGATCTACCTGTGCATTGACATCTGCTTCCCAAGCAACATCTGTATCTCCGTCTGCTTTTATTATCTCCCAGACTGAGCCCCTAGCCTGGCCCAGCCCCACAGGCCAGCCAGCTGGTGGGCCCCATCACCAGCACCACAGAGGGCAGCTGCTGGCGGGGCTAATAAACCCCTCCACCTGGCCATGATGGTGCTGTCTGTGGCCTCGGGACATGAAACGGGCAGGGTGGGGCAGGGGGAAGCACTGGCTTGGGCGTGGGCGCCAGCCTCAGGTCCCCCTCAGCGGCTCTAGGCCGTGTGGGTCCAGCATTTCCGAGGGGAGGGCAGGCTGGCTCAGGGAGGTCTCCTGAGCTCTTTCACACCAAGATAAGCCACTGGGCGCCAAGAGAGCCCCAGAGTGGACGAGCCTGGCCAGTCTAGGCTGGCTGAGAGGGCCAGGGAAGGTCAGTCAGGTCCAGGAGCCTAGGCTGGTAGAGGCTAGCCCATAGGGGTTCACTCTGACCTGGGCAGCTGAACAGGCACATGCAGCCGGTGCACCCAGAAGGCTGCCTGCAATCCTGAGGAGGCATAGGCTAGCCCAGCACGCTGTCGTTGAAGGCCAGGCAGACGACAGCTTTCTGGTGGCCGCCGTACTCTCTCTTGATCTCTCCTGTCTCCACGCACCAGAGCCGGGCCAGGTTGTCAGAGGAGGCTGCAAGGAGGGAGGGCGTGGGCAGCAGCTCAGGGCACAACCCGCAGCTGGGCACACTGGAGGCCGGCTCCCAGGAAGCAAGGAGCAGCAGCCGTGACCAGGCTGGCAGGGTGGGAGGCAGGGCGGGCAGGGCTCACCAGTGACGATGTACTGGGAGTCCCCTGAGAAGGCGCAGCCCCACATCCAGCCTCGGGATGACTCTCCGGGGTTGCTGCTCTTGATGCTCAGCTCTGTCATCAGAGAGAAGTTGGATGTCCTCCAAATCTTGCACGTCTGGTCAGCAGAGCAGGTGGCAAGGAGCCTGGGGGTGGGGTGAGCATGGCAGGGTGTCATCAGCAGCCACTCCCACCCTGCACCCCCTTGCTGTCCACCAGACAGGCCCCGACCCATCAAGCCCCCAGCCCCAGGCAGGTCCCCTCCACCCTACAGCCACCAAGGGCTCCCAGTCCCCAGCCCGGGCACACACGTGGAGTCAGGGCTGAAGCGGCACTGCAAGGCATAGCGGGTGTGCGCTGGGATCTTGGTCTTGGGGATGAGCTGTGTCACCTCATCGCCAATGCCCCCGGTCAGATTCCAGACATAGCAATTCCCCTGTGGGGTAAGAGGGAAGTTATGGGAGGCCTGGAGCCACCAGTGTGACACATAGGGAAGGATGCCCTGGCTACTAGATCCAGATCCAGGGACTGCCATCCAACACTGTGGCTGTGCCCAGGGGTCTGGGGGCAGGGGATGTGTGGCAGACACATCTGCTCCTACCTGGAGGACCTGGTAGACCTAGCCCCAACCAGGGCTATACCTGGAAGGCCAAGAGCAGGAGGCAATGCTTGGCCTTCCTGGAGGATGCTCCTGGCCAACGGGAATGTGAGGACTGAAGTAGGAGACACCCCAGACGGAGGGACCAGCAGGGCAAAGGCTCAGAGGAGGGCAGTGTGGGGACACTGTGGGACAAGTGACTTGCTGAAATTTAATGGACGTTAAAGGGAGAAAATGAGGCTGGACAGGAGATCAGAGGCCAAGCTGCAGCATCCTGAGGCCATGGTAAGGAGCCAGAGGCATCGTGGGTATATGCAGGGGAACAATGTAATCAGGCTGGTACTGCTGAAGGATGCTCTGGCGGCAGAGGGAAAATGGATTGGGGGCAGGGGGGAGGTCAGAAAGGAGGGAGGGAGGTCAGAGAGAGGCTGCAGCCACCATTGAGGGATACAGGAAACTTGGATCAGGAGGTGACAGGGAAGAGAGTGGGAAGTGGACAGACTTGAGAGATTCTGGAGATGGAAGTGACTGGCCTGCTATGGGCTATGGCAGCTAGTGGAGGTGGCATCAGAAGCAACACCCAGGTTTCTGGCTTTGGTGGCTGGGTTGGAGCTGGAGCCCAGGATGGGGAAGCAGGACTGGGAGGGGGAGGAGAAAGGCCTGAGAGACATTGGGGGAATAAGCCCACCTGCAGGGAATAAGGGAGCTCAGGGGCTAGGTGCTGCTGAGCCAGCCTCCCCCACTGCGCCCATCCCAGGACTCACAGTACTATTGACTGCGGCCATGTAGCTGGCATCAGGGTCGATGTGGGCAGATGTGATGGAGACCTCGGCTTCAGGGATCAGCTGCTCGTTGTGGTCAGTCTTCAAGTCCCAAATGTGGATGGCTCCGCTCTGGTCACCCACAATGAGTTCTGCCTGGGGTGCAGGGAGGGTGAGGTAGGGTAGGACCCCGGTCCTCCAGAACCCCAGGGTGTCCAGCCCCGTGCATACCCCTCACCTGGTTGGGGTGCAGGCACACGCAGTTAATGGGCGCATTCACCTGGAAGATCCGCTGACACTGCAGGTTCCGGGACCTTCGGGGTGGGGGACATGCACAGTCTGTAGTGAATGCTGTTGGTGCCCCACCCAGATGCCCTTTCCCTGGGCATTTGCCTTTATCCCTTTGCTGAAAGGAGCTACCTCATAAGAAATACTTGGGAGGTTGGCCCTCCCCAAGGGCAGCCTGCAGCCAATGACTGACTTAGAAGGGACATAAAGGCCAGCCCCTTGCCTCCAGGTGGGACTCGCTCTTTCATGCAATTCACTCTCCAAATCTCCCTTTGGAATCAGGCTGAGGCTGGACTGGCCTTTGTGTGGCTTCATCCCTGCCCTATCCTGCTTTCCTCACTGCCCTCAATAAATCACCCACACAGAAACCCTCATCTCAGCTTCTGCTTAGAGGGGACCCACCTAAGACAGTCTCCTGGCCTGGCCCTCATGACCATACCAAGGCGGGAGGCCCTCCCTGCCCAGCACCCCACACCTGAGGTCCCAGATCCGAGCAGTACAGTCCTCCCCACCCGTGTACATCCAGCGGCCATCCTCATGGAAGCCCACAGACGCGATGTTCTTGTTGACCCCGTCATAGCTGATGATGGGGTTGGGGTTATTGGAGTTGAGATCATACATGCGAATGTGCTGGTAACCTAGGGGCACAGGTCAAACTGAAGTTGGGCTGTGCCTAGATGGACCACCAGAGATCAGGGGTTGGGGTCGAGGGTGCAGGTACCTGCAGCAGCAATCATGCTGCGGTCAGGCGTGATCTCGAGCGCATTCACCTGCTGGGTCTGTCAAGGATGATGAACAGAGCCCTGGGGCCGGGGCCCTCAAGGCCTCCAGCATCCGGCTCAGCTGCTGCATCCTTCCCACCTCAGGCCGTTGCCCAGGCTGTTATCCCCACCAGGCGTCCTACCTAGCACCACCCTCCCCACCTCCCAGTGGAGGATACAGAGTCCTGGTGCTGCACAGTGCGGGTGCAGATCCCGCTGTGGGCCTGCCAGAACCGCACCGTGTGGTCATAGCCCGCTGTGGCCAAGATGACTGGGTCACTGCCCACCGTGCCTGGGGATGTGTTCATGGTGCGGCTGCTTGGAAGGCCCGGGCCAGAGATATGATCAACAATGGGTCAGAGGTCAGAGCATCTGGAGGAGAGAGGAGTGCAGTATTTTGGGAATACCCTCTAGGTCCTAAGTGGATTACAGGTCCACTAGATGCTGAGGGTTAGGTATTATCACCCTCATTTCAGATGGGGAAACTGAGGCTTAGAGAGGTTCAGGGACACGCATGACAACAGGCGAGGGACAGCTCCGAGCTCCAAGACGCATGCGCCATTCCCCGCCCCAAGGACCGGGCCGGGACGCCACCCCACCTACGGCCGGCAGGGGGCAGTCACACCCGGGGCGCCGCTCTGCCGCAGGGGCGGGCCGCGCGTGCGCAGGGCGGCGGACCGGCGGGAGAGGAAAGCCGAGTGCTGCGGCTGCGCATGCGTAGCAGGCCGGCGGCTGGACCTGATGGGAGGGGGCGCTCTCTGGCTGGACCCTCGAGCTCCCTGGTGCTCCGCTGACGGCCCTGGCTCCGTCCCGCTGGGCCAGCTTCCCCTGGGCGCGCTCTCCCGACCACCGGCAGCCGCTTTCCGGCCCTCGTCCCGCGGCCTCGTACCTTACATGCGGCTCTGCGCTCCGCCGCGGTCCAGGACTGGGGAGCGGAGCTGGAGCGAGTCGATGGAGGCCGAGGCCGAGCGTAGAATTATCGATGAGCCATTAGGGCGACACCATGGGACATACGGGGCGGGGGAGCGGGGTGTGGGGGAGGTGAATGGGACAAGACCAAAGTTCTGGGGCAGGGGTCCCCTCCTGCCGGGCAAGAAGCAGGAGAGGCCTGCACCCTGCTTCGCGGCGCGGGGACTGGGGTGAACGAAAGCAGCAGTCCCAGTCTTTTTCCCACTCGGGCACCGCACCCTTCTGACACGGCTACCCATTTCCAGGCTTGGGTCCCAAGGCGGCGTGGCGCCATCCCCTACTCCCCTCTCCTGGCTAGGATTCCCAGGTAAATTACAGATAAATTAACCAGGTTAAATCACAGGTAAATTTCACATAAGCAACAATAATTTTTGTGTGTGTAAGTATATCCCAAATATTGCATGGGATATACTTATACTAAAAAAAGTTATTCATTGCTTACATGAAATTCAAACGTAACTAGCCTTCCTTTAGTTTTATTTGCTAGATCAGGCAACCCTAGTTCAGGCACTTTCAGGCCTGTCCAGTCCCGGCCAGCCTGACCCTCGGGTCCCCCCACTCAGCCTAGCAACCACTCAAAAACTGGGGTTGCTCATACCTCCTTTTCCATTCCAGCCCTCCCACACTCCACACACGCAGCCTCACCCTCTGTCACAGAAAAAAGAGAGCCCTTGAGACAGGCTGTCCCACAGTTTCTTCCTACCGCGCTTACAATCATAGCTGCACACCTCCCCCACCCTTCCTTTCTCTGGCCCCTTGACCAAGGCCATGTCCCCTGCCCATTCCTCCAGGCCCCAGGTCCCAGAAACCTTCCTTCCTGTACCTTTCCCACCTCTCCTCCTTCCTTCTCCTGAGGCTTTAAACACCATAAAACAACCCAAAACTCTCCTAGCAGCTGGCACCCTCTCCAAAGAGCCGTCCTCTCAGCCTTGCTGGCTCCATGTCCTCGCTTCCCACTCACTCCTCTACCCGCTGTCCTGTCTTTGACCCCAGCTCTCCAATGAAAATGTCACCAGGTCACTGGCCATCTCACACTGCCAAACCCAGCGGATACTTTTCCTTCTGCATCTTGAGACGTCTTTGCAGTGGTCGGCAGCTCTGCTCCTAAGAAGCTCCCGTCACCTAGCTTCTTGCATTGGCACCCAGTCTCTCTCTCTGCCTTCTAAAGGCTGGTGCCCTCCAGAGTTCTTGTCTCTGCACGCCACATTGTCGCTGGGGGCTCTCGTCCACTCTCAGGGCTTCCAATACCATCCCTGCCCCAGGAGTTTCCAACCTGTCTCCAGCTGAGATCCAGCTCCCTGTTAGATGTTGTCCCTCGAAGGCCACACGGACACTTCCACTTTCTGTGGGCAAAACAATTTATCATAGACCAAAGGGCTTCCCCTTCTGTGTTCCAGTGCCCACCATGTGTTACAGCCTCGCGTGATCCGGATGCATCTGCCACTCCCTGTCCCTTGACAGCATCCTGACCTGCCTCTCCATACCCATTCCAGCCCCTCTCCAGGCTGTCCTTCACATTGCATAGTAGTCTATTAAAAACCTGTGTGACCCCTGTTAGAAGCCTTCAGGGGTCCCCTGTCACCCCCCGGACTCCTGGGCCTGGCCCCTGCCAACCCTGTGGCTTTCTCCCGCTCTCTGCTTCACAGGCCACGTGCTCCGTCCAGCCAGAGTGGAGTACAGTCTCAGAATTCGCCACCACACTCTCTCCTCTGAACCCTTGCCTGCTCCAAGGAGGCTTTTCTACCTCTTTACCTGTTGAGCCCTTGGTTTTCAACACCTTTCATAGCATTTTGAGGGCTTATTCTGTGTGAGGTGTTATGCAGGTGTTTGTTTTATTTGTTGAAGTGCGATTCACATAATATGAAATTAACCTTTTTATTTATTTATTTATTTTGAGGAAGATTAGTCCTGAGCTAACATTCGCCACCAATTCTCCTCTTTTTGCTGAGAAAGATCGGCTCTGAGCTTACATTCGTGCCCATCTTCCTCTGCTTTATGTGTGGGATGCCTGCCACAGCGTGGCTTGACAAGCGGTGCATAGGTCTGCACCCGGGATCTGAACCGACGAACCCCGGGCCGCGGAAGCAGAACGTGCCAACTTAACCACTGTGCAACCAGGCCAGCCCCCCGAAATTAACCTTTTTAAAGTGAATGATTCAGTGGTACTTAGCACATTCACAATCTTGAGCAACCACCACCTCTATCTAATTCCAGAACATTTTCATCACCTCCAAAGGAAACCCTGTACCCATTATGCAGTGCCTACCCCACTCCCTCAACCTCCCCATCCCCCAGCAATCATCAATCTGCTGTCTGTCTCCGTGGATTTGCCTATTCTGGATATTTCATATAAATGGAATCATACAATATATGGTCTTTTGTGTCCTGCTTCTTTCACTGAGCATAATGTTTTCGAGGTTCATCCAAGTTGTAACACGTCAGTACGTCATTCCTTTTTATGGCTGAATAATATTCCATTTTGTGGCTGGACCACATTTTGTTTATCCATTCATTAGTTGATGGACACTTGAGTTATTTCCACTTTTTAGCTATTATGAATAAAGCTGCTATAAAAATTCCTATACAAGTATCTTTTTTAGTACAGGTCTCCATTTCTCTATACACTAGGAGTGGAATCGCTGGGTCACATGGTAACTCTATGTTTAACTTTTTGAGGAACCGCCAAACCATGCTAAGCGTTTTACCTACATTATCTTTACAGTGGCTCTGCCGAGGAGGAAGTACCCCCATTTTGGAGACAAGAAAACTGAGGCTCAGAGATGTAGAGTCACATGTCCAAAGGCACACAGCTAGAACATGACAGAGCTCATCCTGCTGGGCTCAGCTCTCCCCTGATCTCACCCTTTCTGGCTGAGGTGACTACTCCTCGGGCAGCCCCACACCTCATATGTCCTGCTCATCTTCCTCTCTAAGCTTCCCCAGTGCAGCTCCACCAGGCTCAGGGCAGCTCTGGGAGTGACAGATGAATACGTGGGCTCGGAAGGCCGGGAGGGAAGAGCCCTGTGAACCCCAGAGACTGAAGGATGTCCAGAGCAGGATAAACCCTCCAAAGAGCCTGAGAGCAGGAGAGAGGGGTGGGGCCGAGGGAGGGCTGGAAGACTCCGCCAGATGTCTGTGGGGTCCCACTTGTGACCCAGGGAACAGGGCTTGAGCTGTTGGCCTTTTCTGTAGGGGTTCTGGGTGGAGCCTGGGGGTGCACAAGTCCAATGCCTAAGGGTAACTGACAGACAGGACCAGGCTCCCTACCCAGCCTGAGCAGCTCCAGCATCTCTGCTGGGCAGGAAGGAGGAACGGGGTGGATGGTTGTTGATCCCTTCTTATGTACCAGCTGGGCACTTACAGAGTTGGCACCTATGAGAATGATAGAAACCACAGCAGCTAACATATGCTGCGTGCTCCCAGCAGCCCATGGGGAGGGTACGTTTGTCGTCCCCATTTCATACATAAGGGGCCAGGCACCAGGGCTCTGGGGGGCTGGGAAGGGCACCAGGGAAGAGCGCCTGAGCAGGCGCACAGCTGGTGGGCAGGAGCTGTGCTGCCGGTGGAGGCTGCCGCGCAGCTGGGAAGGGGGCCAGCCCGGGCTGCAGCGAAGCGACCGCCAGCTCTACTCCAAGCTGAGCCTCAGCAATTCTGCTGGCTCAGCGGCCCCTCCTCCAGGGATCGTCCTCGGAGGCCTGACTTGCTGGAGGGCTGCCCAAGTCCCACGCCTCTGCATCCTCATCCCCCAGTGGCCTGCTGTGCTGCCCCACCCCCAGGCTGGGAGGACCCAAGGCAGACACATCTCTGTTGTCATGTGGACCCTCCCATCAGCCCTGTGCCTCAGGCAGAGCTGCTGGCCCATTTTACAGATGAGGTAGCTGAGCGTTGGGAGTTTGTCCAAGGTCACTGGGCTGATCAGTAGCAGATCTAGGACTTCCTGACCCCTCCTTGGACATTAGCCTCAGTTAGCAGGGTGAATTCAGCAGAATCTGTACAGCTCTCTTCCCAGACCTGTCCTCCTGAAGGTGGACCACACAGCAAGATGCCCACCCCCAGGTCTGAGGAGTGACTAAGGGGTGCCTGTTTGTGGGGTACAGGCGGAGCTGGAGCTGGGCAGAGAACGGAGGGGCAGCTGCAGGCAGGGACCAGCTCATTACCCAGAGGAATCCGAGAATTCTAAATTGGAACTTGGCCTTTCAGGTATATTTGTCAAGGTAGGAGGATAGAACATATTTTATTTAGCAGGTTATTAGCATGGTTGATAACATTTAAATATTTAGACATTTGGCGTGTGGGCCTCTGTTTGTACCCTTGCCCCAAATCCTGCAATTAGCCTCAGACCAGAGTGGTTTGCCTTAGCCAGCCAAAACATAAAAATAATGGTAAGAGTGAGAGCTATCTTTTTATTTTTACTTTTTGTCACGCTTCCTGTGTGCTAGGCACACTGCTAGGCTCTGCAGATACAAAGATGAATAAAATACAGTCGCTACCCAGACAGCCCAGATAGGGAGACCCAAGAATACCATAAGACCCACAGAGGCCATTTGTTGAGCCCTTACTAAGTTCTACTGTGAAGTGCTTCATGGATAGCATCACAATTAATCCTCAAATAATCTAAGGGGAGGTATCATTCTTATCCCCATTTTACAGAGGGCAAACCGAGACTCAGAAAGACAAAGTGACTGGAAAAACAAACTCAGTAAGAATCAGAACTAGGGGGCTGACCTGGTGGCCAGGCGGTTAAGTTCACAGGCTCCACTTTGGGAGCCCAGGGTTTGCAGATTCAGATCCCTGGTGTGGACCTAGTACCACTCATCAAGCCACGCTGTGGTGGCATCCCACATAATGTAGATGAATTGGCACAGATGTTAGCTTGGTGTGACAATCTTCCTCAAGCAAAAAGAGGAAGATTGGCAACAGATGTTAGCTCAGGGCCAATCTTCCTCACAAAGAAAGAAAGAAAGAAAAAAAGAGACAAAAAGCAGCAGAATTGGGACAAGTGTGGAGGCCAATGTGGATTC